CGATGCACTGCTATATCAATTAAGAACGAGCGCTGCCCGCCCACGTCAGCGCTCAGGGCGGGCGAGGGGGAGCGGCGGGAGGCAGAGGGCGGCACTCCCCGCTCGCAGTGTCCTCTCTTTCCCCCCTCCCCGTGAGCGCTTGCCCAAGCGCGGAGCGTCAGTTCTTAACTGAATATAACCCCAGCCTCCTGCAAAACCAACATCGTTTTTATTACTTTTTGTTTGTGGCCATCCTGCACTCTATGCTCGATAGGTCCTGGTCATGATCGTCTACTCCTTGACTTATTCTGCGACGTGCGTTTCGACGGCCGTCGACAGCCTGGTTGAGATGCAGGACAGTCTGGGCGACGGGTACTCCGTCAAAGACACGCTGGTTCCTCTGCAAGCCGGCTTAGGGCGAATATTTTTGTTTTTGTACGCCTGCTCCACCTTCCAGCGAGCCGCTCAAGAGGTATCACAAATGTGTTCGTAAAGGTGCTCGTTACTTTTAGATTGAGATTGCAGTGTACGATATTGTGCGATATCTATTCGACAGCATTCCAAGCTGAGTCAAGAACTGCAGGGCTTTCTGGCGGATACTCCAGATGTGCCGGTCGCAGTATTACGTGAGGTACAGTGTTGATCTGTAGGATACGTATGCTGGAAATATAATCGATCTAGGGCAGCACCATTAAACTTACCGTTTCAGGTTGAGAGATTTATCGTACAAATTGGACTTCGGGATGGGTATTTCGACGTCCTCAGCCTGTTTCGCCTGGATATTGGTGCTATGAGAACTGTAAGTAAAAGTTAAACGTGGGATGTGGTATTCGCCAGGAGATAATCAGATGGTTGTCTTTGAGGTAGGCAACTCATTGTGCCCCTGGGAAGCGCTTAGAAAAAAATTCTTGCTTGAACTCGGTTAAGTGAAGTAAAAATGCTGCATAATGATTTGCTTCCGGATCGCACAAAATTTTCATCCGTTTTTCTGAGATTCATTTCCGAAATAACAGTAGCTCGGCGCCTGTGAGACGTGTGGTAGGCAAACCCGCACTACACGCATGCACTGCAGCTGTAGTGTTGCCTACCCATCAGGCGCTATAGAGCGTGAGCATTACGGGACGTAACACAAAGTGAAAGAAACCCACACATTAACTGTTGATCCCTCCGGTTGTTGCAGATTCTGGCGGCTACTGCAACGTATCTCTTCGTGCTCATGCAGTTTGGAATATCCATGTATTAGCGAGCAACGCATCTGCGTGATAGTCTTAAGTGTAAATAGAACAACGTGTTCGGCAGGAGGAGAAAATAACTGTGTTTTTCATCAATAAATTGTTA